TAAAACCCAGCACACAGAAAGCCCTGCCTGCCAAAACTAAAACAAAGGCCTGATCCATCAAAGTCCACAGTGCTGGAAAAGCCTCTAAGTGTACTAACTCTGCTTTCTGGCTTCTGTAGTTCAGTTTCTGCCGAACTGTTCTTGTTAATGGAAGTGTGTCAACCCAGGATGTGGTTTTTGTGCTTAAAAGCTCACCCTGAGAAAAGGTTCCACACTATGCTGTGATCCTGGACACCCAGTTCAGTCATGGGGCCAGTGAATAAAGACTTTAACTGGTTTAAAGTCATGTCCAAGCAGTCTTCCTTGATGGATATCCCACAATAGTAAGTTCCAGGATAACAGAGCTAGATATAGAGAGACCCCATCAGAACAAATAAACTTTTGTTGTTGTTGTCGTCATTTTTCAAGACAGACTTTCTCTGTGTAGCCCTGGCTGTCCTGGAACCAGGCTGGCATTGAACTCACAGAGATCTGCCTGCCTTTGCCTCCCTGGGTGCTGGGATTAAAGGCATGAGACACCACACTCAGCTGGTAACTTTTTTCTTTGTTCTTTTTAATAATTAGTCTCCAGGTTTTTGGGGTTTTTTTGTTTTGTTTTGTTTAAATTTTTATTATTTATACAATGTTCTGCCTGCATGGACACCTGCTCGCCAGAAGAGGGCACCAGATCTCACTATAGGTGGTGTGAGCCGCCAGGTGGTTGCTGGGAATTGAACTCAGGACCTTTGGAAGGGCAGCCAGTGCTCTTAGCCTCTGAGCCATCTCTCCAGCCCTGTTATCCTTCTTTTTGTTAAGATTTATTTATTTTACGTATATGAGGGCTCTGTTTTCATGCACAGCAGAAGAGGGAACCAGATTCCAGTGCAGATGGTTGTGAGCAGCTATGGAAGGGCCCAGGCAGCTGTGCCGCCATGACAGTCTTCATAACCAGCCTTGACACTGTAGGCCCGAGGAGATTCTGTTCCCACAGTTGCTTGCATCCTGTGTCTGTGTCTCAGCCCGTGAACCTCAAGCCTATGGAAAGGAGAGGCAGTAGCTCAGTAACCTCCCTGAAAAATCAGAAGCCGCCTTGAAAAGTCCCTAAGCGCTCTGTTACCTGGGCACACCTCGCTATTTGAATGGGTCACGGCGGCGCGTGCTTTTCATCACAACACTCAAGAAGCCGGAGCAGGAGGACGGAGTTTGAGGCCAGCTTGGGCCACGCAGGAAGCCCCTTCTCAAACACCAAACAGAGCTCCCGGAGGTCCCGGTGGCTTCTCCCGCAGCCTCTCGGGGCGCGCGGCCCCTCCTTCCCTCCGAGGGAAAGACACCAGGGGCTTCCCGTCGGAGGTCCTCTCGGAGGAGGACTCCTCGGAAGGGCTGCTCTCCTTCTCTGCACAGGGCAAGCGTGAGCGAGGCGCCGTGGGTGACGCAAGCGCCCAAAGCATCGTGGGCGATGCTGCAATGCGGCAAGGCTGGAGAAGCTCCATTCCAGCGACCAGATAACGCAGCAGAACGAGCGTGGCCGAGTGCCAATAAAGCTTCATTTGTGAACACCAAAGTTGGGATTCATATAATCTTCGGTATCATATAAGGGAAGTCTTCTTTGATTTTTTTTTTCCTCCTCGCTCTACCTAAACTCGGAAAACTCCTGCTTGCCATGGGAAACGGGGTGAAGGGCCCGGGGCCAGAGCGAGCCACTCTCTCTTGCACACGGCTCTACCCTCCACTGGCTCCAGCGTCCCGAGCCGCCACCCAGAAAGTCACTCCCAAAACTCCTCACCTCGGACGCCAAGTAGGATAATCAGTGGGGCTGTTTTGCGGCAATACCTAACCAGTACATCCTGAGGACGAGAAAGCCAGATCAAACATGTGTCATAAAAAAATTATTTATTTGTTTGTTTATTTATTTATCTATTTATTTAGCTGGATGCGATGTACACCACCCACAATCCCAGTGCTCAAGGGGCTGAGGCAGGAGGATTGAAGGGGCTGGCTGTGAGTTGGAGGCCAGCCTGGTCTACAGGGCGAGTTCCAGGACAGCCAGGGCTACACAGAGAGACTCGATCTCAAAACACAGAAATACAGGGATGGCCGAGGTTAACAGCACTGGCTGCTCTTCCAGAGCACCCGGGTTCATATCCCAGCTCCCACACGGTGACTCACAGCCATCCGGAACTCCAGTTCTAGGGGATCTGATGACTTCTCTGGCCTCCAAGGGTGCCAGGTCCTCGTAATGGTGCAGGCGAAACACCCAACCACATTAAATAAGTAAAAAATGCTGCTGTGTGTGTGTGTGGCTGGAGAGACAGCCGTGGGTGCTGGGAACCGAACTCCTATATTTATGGTTGTAAATCTAGCCTTTAATGGCTGAGCCCTCTCTCCAGCCCAGTAAAAACATGCTTTAAATAATATTTTTTTTTTCTTTTAAGGACACTCGTAATGAGGGCTCAGGGCCAGCCCCTTGACTAGTGTGATAAGAGATGCCAGAGGCAGCAGAGGGAGCCCGCTGCCCCTTACCCAGGGAGGGAAATTAGCCCGTGTGAACACGTGTCAGTCTTCAGAGACTCTGAGGGAAAACACCTGTGAACACTCCAATCACAGCATGGGTTTTGTCTGTTTTCAATTTCTTCTTTTTTTTTCTTTCTTCTTATAATATCATTATGTATGTATGTATGTATGTATTTTACTGGTTCTTCTGAACCAACGTGGTTTCTCTGTGTGGCCTGGCTGTCCGAGAACTCATTTCTGTAGGCCAGGCTGGTGTTTTGAACTCAGAGATCTGCCTGCCTCTGGCTCCTTAGTGCTGGGATCTATCTATCTATCTATCTATCTATCTATCTATCTATCTATCTATCTATCTATCTCAGATTCCGTGCCCTCCAGGGGCTACAGTGAGACCCTGCCTCAAAGCAATAACCAGATAATAACTCACTCGTTGTGGGATGCCTTAGGGTTTCGGGCGCTTGTGGTGATGATGAAAGTGCTGGTTTCCAGAACCCACATAAAAGCTGGGGGTGTTCGGCAGGCCTCCATTAAAAGGCGGATGGACACAGGATACCCACAGCAAGCTCACTGGCCTCCCTCTCTGCCAAAAGATCAGGCTGCTGGGAGATCTTCAGTTGGGCTTTGTTTTTGTTTGTTTGTTTTTGGGTTTTTTTTTGTTTTGTTTTTAAAGATTTTTATTTATTTATAAAATTATAGTGTTCTGCCTGCATTACACCTCCAGGCCAGAAGAGGGCACCAGATCTCACTATAGATGGTTGATTGCTGGGAATTAAACTCAGGATCTTTGGAAGAACAGCCAGCGCTCTTAACCACTGAGCCATCTCTCCAGCCCTTTTATTATTTATTTATTCATTCATTTATTTATTTGTTTGTTTGTTTGTTTGTTTATCTATCTATTTATTTATTTATTTATCTATTTATCTAGTTAGTTAGTTTGTTTGTTTTTGAGACAGGGCTTCTCCGTAGCCCTGGCTGGCCTCGAACCCGGAGATCCACCTGCCACAGTGCTGGGATTAAAGGGGAGTGCCACCGGGCTAGAGGGAGAGTCTTGACATGAGCCTTAGTCCTTCACACACGTGCACACATACACACACACACACACAGACACACACACACACACAGAACGCAGGACAACAAAGAATTCGGGCCAGTGGGCCGATGAGGAGGGTGCTATGGAGAGGAGACCCCACCTGAGGGGGAGGGGTAGACCCGACCCCACAAAGCGTGTTAACCCCCACACTTCTTACACACTAACGAGGAAATGAAGAAATGTAATTTAAAACGAAACAGGATGAATTGGAAACCGCTCCCTCGGCGGACCGGGTGTGTCCGGAATTCTCTCCCACCACCGGGGGGCACCCTGTATTGGGTGGCCTCCGGGTATTGGGGTGCAGGCAAAGCGAGGGGTCTTTGGGAAGGTCGCAGGGGCGGAGCACCTAAGGGGGAGCAGCAGGCCGCTGGGGGTCCCCGGGCTCGCGCTGATCCGTGTGTGTCTGTCCAGGGCACAGGCCTGCAGCGTGCCGCTCCTGGGCGTGTCTCCAGAAGAATGTTCTGGAAGAGGCAGCTCAGCCACAGGGAGGACTCCCAGGGAGGGATCCCCGGGGCTGGCTCCTCCGGGTTCCCTCCCAGAGCCGGGTCCCCGCCCAGAGCCGCTGCTGTGTGGCAGGGCCGGGGAGGGGCAGGGCGGAGGGGCACCTGGGCCCAGGGCAGCAGGGCTGCCACGGGGACCCAGGCCGGGACCCAGGAGGCCCGTGGCGCCTCGCCCCGCTCCATCTGCTGCAGACCTGGCGTCTGCCCCCGGGGCGTGCGAGTGGCGGCCTGTCCCGGCTGGGAGCGGCTCCGGCGGGAGGGCCACCCCCGCCTTCCCCGGCGCCTTCAGGGTTGGGGTGCCCCAGGAGAGCGAGGAAATGGGACTCCTCTTCTTTGTTTTTTGTTTTCTGTCTGTCTCTCCCCATCCATCCATCCATCCATCCATCCATCCATCCATCCATCCATCCATCTATCGAGACAGAGTCTCATTCTGTGTGTCTCCCAGGCTGGCCTCGAACTCAGGGCAATTCTTCGGCCTCAGCCTCCCAGGAGCTAACAGGCGCGAGCCACCAGGCCCTGCGTATTTCCTTCTCCAGGAGGAGGCATTTGGGTGACCTTTGTAAAGGTGACACAGTGTCCTAGGAAGGTTCACCCAAACGCTGGCGGGCTGCCGGAACACCGCACAGGCAGAAAGACACACACACACACACACACACACACACACACACACCCCCAAATAACTGATGTGGTCGTGCACCCCTGCAATCTCGGCCAGCTGGGAGGCTGAGGCAGGGGGGTGACCCCCAGTTTGAGGCCGGCCTGGGCTAGCCCCCCCCCCCAAACCCGGCTGCCCGCCCCCCGGCCTCCTGGGCCGCGCACAGAGGACACCGACACCACGAGGGCGCGCGGCTACGCTTTATTGGCCGTCCCAGCCGTCCCAGCCGTCCCAGCCGTCCACGGCCGTCGGCCCGCCCGGCGCCGGCTCAGAAGATCTTGAGCGAGTGCAGCTGCACGTCCCCGCCCACCTCCACCATGCGCACGCGCGAGGGCGGCAGCCTGTGGCGGAAGTGGAGGTACTCGTCGTCGCCGACCACCGTCTGCGGGGCGGGAGCTCGGGTGAGGCCTCCGCGGGGGGGAGGGGGACGGACCCGTCGCCGCGGGGGCACGGCTGTTGCCGGCTCAGGGGGGAGGACGCTGGCTGGGCCCGCCGCGCCCTGCTGGGTCCCGCCCGGGTTGCAGGGCCCCCCCCCCCCCGGCCCCCGCCCCCCCCCCGGGCCCCAGCCCCCCGCCCCGGGCCCAGCACCCCGCCCCGGGCCCCAGCACCCCGCCCCGGGCCCCAGCACCCCGCCCCGGCCCCCACCTTGTAGCCGTCGTCCGTGGCGATGAGCAGCACCTCGAAGGGCTGCCCGCGCTGGAAGGGGATGCCGCGGCCCCGCTCTTCGCGCCCCCACTTGCCCTCCTCCTTGGTGTTGAAGACCACCTCAGACGCGTCCAGCCTCGGGTTGAAGTGCAGCGCGGCGTCCGCGCCCTCGTCCTCGCTGCACAGCAGGTTGACGTAGAACCTGCCAGGGGCAGCCGGCGGGGTGACGGCTGTGCGCCCCCCCCCCCCCGGGCACGCCCGCGCGGAGCCCCCGCGGCTATGGACGGGGTCCCCTCCCACTTAAAACCCGAGGTCTCAATTTTAGTGTGCCCTGGGCTTGGTGGCCGGGTACCCTGGGCACGCGGGGTGGCTCCAAAGGCCCACGGCAGGTTTTCACGCGCCCGGAAACATGGGGCGTGGGGATCCCAGGACTAACCGGGGACTCCCGACGTTGCCCTCGAACCCCACACTTCTAGGGAGACCTGGGCACCCACCCACGAAGTCTCGGGGGACTTCGGTGAACACACACATCCAAATCAAGAGAGCAACAGGGAATCCAAGAGCCCACCCGACAGAAAAGACCCCGGGGCCCCCCATGTGTGGGGATCAGCCGAGCCAGGAGGAACCTGGGGTGTCACCTGCCAGCCTGGTCAGGGACGACGCCTCGGATTCTCAGGACAGTGCCCACGCGGATGCCCTCGGGCAGGGGGGCCTTGTTGTGGAAGACCTGAAAAGTTTGGGTGGGGCGGGGTGAGAGACAGAGGGGTCAGCGCAGCCAGGAGGGCCAGGGGCAGGACGGAATACAGGTTAGAGGAGCCCGAGAAGGTTTCAGCCAGGCCCCGCCCTGGTCCCAGCTGCCCCCCACCCCTACCCTCAGCCTGGGCCCCAGAATACTCACTGACATGGCTGGCAGGGCAGTACAGCAGCAGTGTGGCCAGGAGGGCAGGAGGGGAGCTTAAATAAAGGCAAGATGGGGTACAGCTCCACCCTCTCCATCGACGCCCACACCTGGCACAGACCCCTGCCCTGGGGCAGAGCTGTCAAAACTGAGTGAGTCTCCTCCTGCCCTGCCCCCACGCCATCGGGGCGGGGCGGGGGCTACCTCCCCCTCTCTAGGCTTGTAGATAGGAAGAGCCTTTAACACCTGGGCTCCCACCCCATCCCCCGCCCCTCTGCCAGGCACCCCTCTGGGTTCCTGGAGACCTCAGCAAACCTTAGCCTTTCCTGTCCTGTGCTAGCCACCCCCCCAGCACCCTGTTACCAGACGGTGCGTGGCACATTTGAAGCGGCCGGTAATGGCGGGTGACGTTAAGACCGTACCCAGCCACCGGGCTGAGGACTCCGGGCGTCCAGCTGTGTCCCCAGACACGAAGCGTAGCTTGGCCACTGCACTGACCTGCAGGGGGCTGAGCTGGCAGGGGCAGTTTGTCCACAGATCAAACTGCCACAGGCTGGGGAATCTGGCTCACTCGAGGTCCTGCCCCGTACCGTTCCGGCTGGCACATCTTGTTCCTCTTCAAGACTCCAGCAGCTCATCCCTGAGCTGAGCCCACCGTCCCACCCAATGATGGGGTACGGGTCGGGGGGTGTCTCAGGCACCACCCAGAGAAAGGAACAGTGGGGACACTGTGGACAGCCCCTAACCCTAACCCTGAGTTTTAGTCTCCTTGGATCAGGACGGTAGAGAAAGTGCCTGCGGGTGGGGGGGGGCGGGGAAGACCGGGAAAGGGAGTTTCTGGAAGGCAGGCAGGGGGAGAGTGGGAGTGCTGAGCCACTCCCAAGAGCCCAGCAGCTGTCCTGGGGGAGCTTCTCCACCCCTGTTTCCACCACCCCACTCGCGCCCCACCCATCAGGTGGCAGACAGGAAGAGCCTGCTTCCTCATGCTCCTCTGTCCCCGTATCCTGGATTCACCTCCCATCCCCAGGACACACGGGGACTCCGGCGTGGTGGTCCAGAGTGGGAGCAGAAGACAGAGACAGAGAGAGAGAGAGAGATTTGTGTGCAGGAGCAAGCTGACTTGAGCTAGGCACAAAGGTGCCTGGAACTCAGCAAGTGGAGGTGAAGGCCAGAGAGTCAGCTCAAGGGCCTTTGAAGCCATCATGGGCTGCCCGAGACTGTCTCAAGAAACAGCAACTGGTTTTGAGTGGTTCCTTTAATCTGAGCACTCAGGAGGCAGAAGCAGGCAGATCTCATGGGTTAGAGCCCACCCTGGTCTGTATTTCTACCTCCACGATAACCAGGGCTGTGTAGAGAGACCCTGCCTCAAAAACAAACACATAGGGCTGGAGAGATCTCCTGGTGGTTGAAATCACCACTGCTCCTGCAGGGGACCCTAGTGCCATTCCCAGCACCCACATCAGGGCCTCACAACCTTCTTTAGCCCCAGGACCAAGGGAATCTGACACCGCCTTCTGGCCTCTCTCTCTCACACACACATAAATTTAAGAACTCTTTAACTACAAACAAGAAACCTTGGGTTGGGTTAGAGAGGAAATTCCTAGAGCGACGTCTGAAGGCTTTGACTTGAATTTCTGCAGGCCAAGGACACGCCGGAGCGCTGAACAAGGGGACGTCAAGTTTCATGTTGCGCCACCGTCCATTTGTCACAGTTAGGCCGATAATTGTGGCTCTTCGAGCTCTGTATAAATCACCTGGCACTGGCCTGCGCCTCGCTGTGTTTGTTGTTGCTGGTTCCCATGGGCTGGCTTCCCATTTCCTCATCAGAGCTGAGGAGAGTCCTCAGGCAGCCGCTCACAGGCCTGCACTTGCCGAGGCGATCCCTAAGACGCTCCCGTTCCGTCCCTTATCAGCTCCTCTATCTGCCGCCTTTCTGGGAACTGAGATGCGCTGCTGTGTTCCCCACCTGTTCTTGTCTGCCTCAGGTATCCTTGTTGTGAGCTCTGAGTAATACTCCCTTGACGTATCTTTTATTTCTGATTCATTATCGAACACATTTATTAACCAGGACTTGTCTTTATGGGAAAATACTGTGGACTGAGAAAGGTTTTAGCCAGGTGGTGGCGGCGCAGGCCTTTAGTCCCAGATCTCTGCCCATCCCAGTCTGCAGAGCAAGTCCAGGACAGCCAAGGTTACCCAGAGAACCCCTGTCTCAAGATGCCCCCCCAAAATAAAATTTTTAACAAAACAGGTCATTAAGGATTTTTTTTTGGGGGGGGAGGTTTTTTGCTTTGTTGAGACAAAATTTTATGTAGCCCAGGCTAGCCTTGAACTCCCTAATTAGCCAAGAATGACCTTGAATTCTTGGTCCTTCCGCCTCATTCTCTCAAGTGCTGGGCACGTGCCAGCACGGTGGGGTTTTGCAGTGCTGGACACGGAGCTCTGACCATGCTCGACAAGCTGAGCCACGTCCCCAGCTCAGCTGTGGGAGCTTAAACCCAAGACCCCACTCATCGGCGTCAGTCTGCCAACATTTTCATCTTTTTGTATGTAGTGAAAATGGCCAAGCACTCCTTCAAGCCAGCACTCAAGAGGCAGAGGAAGGCAGATCTGTGAGTTGGAGGCCAACGTGGTTTACGTACGTACGTAGTGAGTTCCAGGACAGCCAGGGTGAAACAGAGAAATGCTGTCTTAAGAAACAAAAACAAAGCAAACAACAAAAAGGGGGAAAAAAAGAATGAAGTGCTAATAATATTGATGATTTGATGGAAATCTGGACTTTAAAGATTTTATGGATTTTGATTTAAGTGTGTGTCTGTGGGGAGGTATGTGCATGCAGTGCCTGGGGAGACCAGAAGAGGGCGCCAGATCCCCAGAGCTGGAATTACACGGGCTTGTGCGCCCTCTGACGCGGATTTTTTTATTTCTTTTTATTTTATGTGTGTGGGTGTTTTGCCTGCATGTCTGTATGTGGACCATGTGAGCACAGTACCTGAGGAGGTCAGAAAACGGCTTCAGATCTTCTGGAACTGCAGTTACGGACCGTTGTCAGCCCCTTGTGGATCCTGGGAACAGAACCTCCCGCCCCCAAATCCTCTGGAGGAGCAGCCAGTGCTCTTAACCACTGAGCCATGTCCAGCCTCCTCTTTCTTCTTTTCAGATGAGGTCTCCCTGTGTAGCCCAGGCTGGCCAGGAGCTATCAGCCCTCCTTTCTCAGTCTCCACTGCCGGGCTTAGAGGGTGGAGACACAGCATGGTCTAAAAGCTGAGGATTCTGGTGACAGCTACAGAAGCTGAGCGCTCTGGAGGCCGAGGGCGAGCCTTCTCTCGTAGCGGTCGCTCTGTCTATGAGCTTATTTAATCAAAATCTCTTAGTTAGTTTTAAGCCGCCAGTATGGTTTTTACAAGGCATTCCTTTTTCAGTGTCTTAATTGTGCAGTAAGCGTTTCTAGGTCATAAAGTAGGCCTGGTAAATTTCAAGGCCTTGACAGCAACATGCTCTGGGTGGCTCCCTCCTCTGAGTTTGTGTCTCCCCTCTTGCCAAGTCTCACGGTGTAGACCAGGCTGGCCTGGAACTCAGATGTCTGCCGTGCCTACGGAGCGCCGCAAGCAAAGACCGCGTGCCACCACCCGCGGCAAACCACCCGGGTTCTGGAGACAGCGTCTCTCGCTAGCCTGGAGTTTGGTGGTCTGGCTAGGTCAGCCAGCCGGCAGACCCCAGATCCATCTGTCTCCAAACCCCCAGTGCTGGGACCACACGCGTGCTCCCTGACACCTGGCTTTTCATGTGGGCGTCGAGGAGCGAGCCCGGGTTCCCCTGCCGTGTGGAAAGCACCTTGCCAACTGAGTGATCTCCCAGCCTCCTCCATGACTGTGCCTTCAGTCCTGAAGAGTGTGAGATGAGTTAGCTGCCGCCAGCCGGCAGAGCCGCCCTCCCGGGCTGGCTGACAGACCAGCAGACAGGCCTCCACAGGCGGCTCTCCCGAGGTTGTTTGTCCTGAGACTGTAATATAATTACAGTGTCATCCTTGGCTTTCCTGCCTCCAAGCCCTCCGTATGCCCTCCCTAATCTCTTCCAAATGCACGGCCTATTTTTTCACTAATTGTTATTGCATATATATATATATGCAATATATATATATGTATATATATATAATTTTGAATATGCATATATTTTACAACATAACCCATTCAGCCTCTACACGCTACTTTTATATATATTTTCAGGGCTGGCCATTTGGCACTGGAAAATCAATCCCTGAGGAAGGACCCTCTCCCACTCCCAGTTTTCCTCGGTTGCCTGCAGTTCTTTGCGTAGCGTGAGGCCTTGGGGGCCTTTCTCCTTCCGCTTCGGTGTGTCTATTGGTAGTGTCTTTGTTCCGCTCAGGTGCAGGCAGTGACGCTGGTGAGACTTCATGGGGGTGGCTTCTGAGATTACTAGGACACACACCTCACAGCACGCTCCCTGCCCCTCTGGCTCGGACAGTCCTTCCTGAGCCCTTAGGTGCTGGAGTGTTTTGTAGCTGTGTCTATCGGGACCGGGCTCCACAAGCATGTTTTTCAGCTGGTTGTGGTGTTCTGTAGTGATTTCTGTCAGTCACAAAGGGAAGTTTCCTTAAGGGGGGATGAAGACTACACTTCACTGTGGGCATAAGAACCAATGATTATAGATTGTCGTTAGGGACTGTGCTGGTTTAGTGAAGTAGTGGCTGTAGATTCTCCTCCAGTAACCACACCTTCATCGGCACTGAGGAGCTGGCCAGGCTTCCAGTGCTGGCATGCTCTCCCTCCTGCTGTGCGGGTCTTAGGTCCAGGTACAGAACTGTTGGTTGCCACCACGGCGCGTGTGCCACTGCCACGCCCTTAGGATTATGGTGCTGTGCTAGTTGTTGATGTCAGAGGTGCCATAAGGTAGGACTGTGACCCAAAGTTTGAAGACAGAGAGGACAGGAAAAAAAACGTGCCTAGGGACGCCATGCTTTTATCCAGGCACATGCCTGTTATCCCAGCCTTCTAGAGCAGAAGTAGGAGGGTGACAGATCCGGTTATGTGAGGAGAGCTCTCGCACAGCCACCCCAGAAAGATAGTAGAAAGAAAGGGAGAGAGACGGAAAGAAGGAGAGGGAAGGAGGGAGAGACAGTTGTGTGGGAGTGCTGGCGGATGTGACGGCCTTTCCCTCTGTCCTCAGGGAGGACCTCAAAAGAGTCAACATTATGTTAATTTGGACTTTCACGCCCAGACTGTGAGGTAACGGAACATCTTTGCTTTATTAGGTGGCCTGCCTTAGACTGATTCACGTGTTGTTCCCTAGGAGGAATGGAGAAAGGAGGGAGGAAATGAATTAAGTGCTAGATGAATGGTAATTTCTTAGACTCGAGAAAGTGAATCCTAGGCAGAAAGAAATGCCCATTGAACCAAGAACCTCCAAACTTGGAGGAATCCATGGTACCAGGCCCTTCTAGGAACAGGCCCAAAGCAGGAGGCTGAGGGAGGTGGTGGCAAAAGGGAGTTTCTGGACAGCAGCAACCTCCTGCCCGCCCGTGGGAAAGAGAAGACAGACAGGAGAGACATCAGGTGAGAGTCTGAGAAGGTGAAATTGACAGGACCTTTGGCTGTTTCAGCCTGGGCAAACCAAGGGA